GGTAATAAGGCTTTTTAAGATATTTTTTTCATATATGATGACATTTTACTGATAGATCTGTTATTGCCTTCAATTTGAAACATGACAAGTTCTTCTAAGCAGAGTCTAAGAGACGGCTGTGGTTACTTGTAACCTGTAGGTGAAAGGCCGTCAAACAGGAGGTCTGGTCTACTGAGACGATGATCCCAGTAAATATCTGCGGGTAAATAACAGGTTACTGAGGACAGATATGTTAACACGCATTCATCTGCATCTTATTAGCTATGATGCACGAACAGTGGATATAATATCACTTAAAGTGTCTGGGAGAGTGAAGAATGTAATCCATCACGCGCAGGGGTTACACGACTTGGGTAAAAAAAAATGGGAAGTGAATACTCACGTACCTACAGTTTGGTAACCAGGAACTATGGGACGGACGGACGCACGTAGGTAACCGCCCCATCATGGTGTGAGAATGCACCGCGGAAGTGGTTAACAATGCTTACTTTTTTTTAGGGCACTCCTTCGAGCAAGCGGTTTCTAGTTTATACCTCTGTTTTGGGGGCTTTGAAAGGGCGAGGATTTCTCCTCAATTGGCTTGAAAATTTCGGGGCTGTTTGACCCCGACGGGTTTAGCACTTTTACATTAATAAAATAATTTAATGGATATTGTGGAGAGCTTAGATCCGTGCTGGGAAGGAAGAAAACAATATGGTAATGAATGTTTGTATCGAGATTTATTTACTTCTGGAGTAGCATATATCATTTTTATTTAATGAAATCTATTCTTTATTATTTTTATTTGTTAATTAAGCCTAATTGCTCAATAATATTTGTACTTAATAAAGTTCACTTACTGGATAGTGAAATTCGTTTTTAATGTAATGAAGCATAGACAAAAAGATAAGGTCGGACGGTGTCCAGGTGGCTGGTTGAACCAAGACTCTGGTACATTGCTGGTTGTACCAAGAGTGGTACATTGTTGGTTGTACCAAGACTGTCACATTGTTGTAAACCACACAACAACCAAATTCTGTAAATTCAACATTGTAATCTTTATAGAGAATAACTTTGAATTGAATTGAATTAAAGTTGGGTACATTGAACCAAATCTCTGTTGGTAGCCCAAGAAAACCGACTCGATGCCAGTAATTTCCTCTAGTGATATTACGTTAATATATTAAGGGTAATGATGCCTGTGTATGATTTGAGACCCTTGGGAACCAATGAAGCTTCAAAGGTTGTGTGTTTTACCAAAGTTTTATTATTGTGATAGTCTACGTACGCATCTGTGAGGTTAATCAGAGGAATCAGTTAATACACAGATCATGCTAACATATCTTACATTATTCACTAGAGTTATGCTAGAAGTTAATGCTAAATATTATCATGTGATAAACATAGCACAACTGGTGATTCGTAGCAGAGGAGACAAGTGGTCGCTGGGTTGATACCTTCAGCGTGTAAAAACTCAACAATAATTTACACATCATTTCCGCAGTCTGTCTAATGTCCCTTTGGTGTTTGTTGACGTATTTTGTGTTACATAATAGTCCATAAGGCCACTGCCAACACCGTCAATTATTTCCTGGTTTATTAATAGTAAAGCTTCCTAGTTGCTTGTTCCTTTTCTGTTTTTATTCTTTTCAAGCTTTTATATATTTTTCCGCCCTTCAGGGACGCTTTTTATCTAGTTCATTTTACCAGAATTAACCTGGTCGAAACTTCTGTTTGTGTGTGTGTGGGGAGGAAAGGTTGTGAAGGGTTGTGGTGAGAAGGAGAGACAGGGTCAGAAACAAGACCTTGTGGGCTGATGTGCTACTCCAAAGGAATATTTATGTCATGATTTCTGGATAGTGAAGAGAGTTAGAAGACGGTAAGATTCCACAATCTTGTGATTTGTTTTCGAGATGACACGATGACAATGTGACTGCAGGATTTACATTTATTACATTAGCTGGATTAATTTACTCTAGCTGATACTGATTCTTGTCCGTCATAATGTGAGTTTTGTACACACCTGTCAATTCGAATATTTTTTAATATGACTGATAGCTCACTGTACCTATGAATCTTTTTCTTCACCTCTTATTACGAAGATAGGTTTATATATGTTTATGTATGTCGTGCCGAATATGTAAAACTGGTCAATTAGCAAGAACTCATTTAAAATTAAGTCCTTTCTAAAATTTTCTCTTATACGTTTAAAGATATATTTTTTTCATTAATGTTAATGTAAAAATTTATAATTTTGCTCCAAAAGAATCTTAGAAAACTTACCTAACCTTATTATAACAAGAATAATTTATTTTAGCCTAACCCAACTAAATATATTTTATATTTTTGATTTACAGTAATTTAATACTAAACAAACACAGTGAAATAAAAATTTTTTTCGTTAGGTTCAGAATGATTTGGGCGAAATTATTGCATACACAAATTTTCGCTTGTCCTATATGGCAAGATGAGAGTTGCTATTTAAGCCAAGATCGCAAGTTCTGCCTATTCGGGACGATATATATATATATATAATATATATTATATTTATAATATATATAATATATAATTAATAATCTGGGAATCGTGATAGAAGTGTCAAAATTTGCTAAGTTTCCCTAATTAGTATATTTTACTTGTTAGTGAGACTTCATTATCTGTACATACATGCATCTTTATTTTGCAACTGATGCTCCTTGAGTTGCATTGTCAAGTGATTGGCTGTCAATTTAGCCCAGCAGAAAATTACAGGAAGCACGTAATATTTGAGAAATGTATTTTTTTCGTCTAAATAGATATTAAGCTTTTGTAATGCCCGTATTTTTCCATGAAAAATATAAGAATCAAAGACAAAATAACAGTTGTTTGATTCTGCTAGAAGGACATTCACTCTTAGTGACTAACTGAGCACAGCTCAGACCTCTACAACTGTCCTCAAAGATTTAAGTTATACCTTGAATTAAGGAAACATTCTGGACTTCACCTTACGAAAGCAGACAAAGTAAATGCGATAGTAATTATGAACAAGGTAGATTATAGTGGAAAAACTAACATGATATTAGAAGACAGAGGAAATGACGTGCCCGTTGATTTTCCCCGGTTCTCCACTTTATGCTCCAGGTTCCCCGCTTTTCCACTTTATGCTCCAGGTTTCCCGCTTCTACACTTTATGCTCCAGGTACCCCGCTTCCCCACTTTATGCTCCAGGTACCCCGCTTCCCCACTTTATGCTCCAGGTTCCCCGCTTCCCCACTTTATGCTCCAGGTTCCCCGCTTCCCCACTTTATGCTCCAGGTTCCCCGCTTCCCCCACTTTATGCTCCAGGTTCTCTTGTTATCATAGCTCCCTATTATATTGGAAATATGTTTAATGTCTCCTTTGCTTCAGTAAAACACCTCTTGAAATGGCAGCTATAACAGTTACAGATGGTTCGCCTTAGGCAATTGCTTGTTTTGTTGTAGATGTTTGGTATATTGTAACCCTATGGTAAATTAAGGAGACTTGTGGATAATAGTAAGTTAAATTATTATTATTATCAAGGGGAAGCGCTAAACCCGGAGGATTATACAGCGCCTAGGAAGAGATGTGGAAGGTATTCAGGCTTAATTCAGGGAACTGGAGCACAAATCCAATTCCCTAAATCAAGAGCCCCTCACCAACATCAAGGAACCTTCCTTGAGGGGAATAATAAGTTAAAACCCCATTATTCTTAATTACTAGACATGACCAAAATAAAAGAGTCACAAGACAAACCATGGATCGTGTTTGAAGCATGATGGAGTGACCAGATGGTCCTTTACTGTCTTCATCTCCATTATAATTTGCTCAGGAATGCTATTCACACATTTTTTTTTTGTTCTAGGTATTTTAACCTTTGAAACGCCTTTTTTATTACATATTTAGAATTTCTTTTTCATACTGATAAGGTAAATATATTTTTATGTAGAAGTTAAAAGTCCGTATTGATTTTAAAGAGACACTTATACTAGAAGCATGAAGCTTACAAGAATGAAAGAAGCACGTACAGGAGGTTGCCCTACTGAATTGCTTGAGAGGAGATCGTTTCTCGTGTTCTTCGCTCTAGAGAGTATCACGAAGGCTTCAGTGACCCTGGCCTGGCTCTATCACTGCCGTGCCTTAGATGTTTACACTTCTGATGCGGCTAGATAAAAATTCTTAACATGAACACACAGTCCTTATAGGGTTCACATGGCATGATGCTGTTTGGTCGATAAATTACATGAATGTTTCCTAGTAAGAAGGTAAATGATTGCCCACAACCTGTAGCAAATGGAAACGAATGCATTCACTTTCGATGTTTCGACATAAAGAACCGGAACGTCTTCACTGGAGGTGTCCTAAGTAAATGTATTCGCGTCCGTTTTCCATGAATATTAAAAAAAATCAGGCTACGTCTCCCGTAGAATACTAAAGATGTGAAAAAAAAAACCCATGGAGAGTGATATGATGAATGCGCTACGTAATTTACAGTGACAGGCGGGAAAAAATTTTTTCTGTGCAAACTCACAGGAAACAAACGATAACGTTCAGAATGTAAGTTGCTGGTGTACTGCTGAGAGAGACAACGATGTTCACCTTGATGCTGAACTTTAGAAACATCATGCAAATATCATGCGAATACTTTGTACCTATATATATATAATAATATATTATATTATATATATATATATATATATATATATATATATATATTATATATATATTAATAATCACTTTAATTAAATGACAGTATCAGTATTTATGACACTTTAATCTAATTAAATGACATAGAACTCAAAGATCGGGTGGAGATCGAACCCAAGGCAGGCGAGTCCTAAAATTCACTGGGAGTCTGAGGACTCACTTGCCATGGGTTCGATCCCCAGCCGTTCTATTATTTGTTTGAAATCGTGTTATTAGGGTTTCGCGAGTCATAACCAGCATGAAATTTTGACAGTTAATTGAAATACTTCAGGGTTTTATCCAGCTTAAAATAACCATAAGCATTTGTCTTCCTGCAGGAGGCGGCGGCACCGGTGGTGCAGGAGGTTCATGCAGCAACCAAGATTTCCTGACCAACTTGCTGGTGTATCAGTACCTGTCAGGCAGCATCCCTGGAGGCCAGGCAGGCGCACATCCTCAGCTTGCTGCACTACTCGGCTCTCAGGTCAGTAGTTTCCTCTGACAGTGCAGGTTAGCAACGAGTGGATATGGAAGTAGATTCAGATGTATTCAATTAGGTCATCTTTATTGAAGACGTTTCGGTCCTGGGAATTTGATTATTTCCATTATGTGAAGTGATATATAAAACTGAGTTTTTATTTTAATGTTTTAACACAAATTAATGGAGAACAGGTGCAATAATGCACAAATAAATCAATATGCATTCAGGTAATAAGGCTTCTTAATGCAATTTCTTCATTTATGATGATATTTACTGATAGATCTCTAATTACCTTTTATAAGAAACATGACAAGTTTTTCTGAGCAGAGTCTAATTAACCAGACTGTGCTTACTTGTGATCCGTAGATGAGAGGCTGTCAAACAGGAGACCTGGTCTACTGAGACGATCCCAGTAAACATCTAGTGGTAAATAACAGGTTACTAAGGACAGATATGTTAGCGTTCCTCAGGTTACACGGTGATAATAGCCCTTATATATGGGTGTGAAGCGGTGGCTTTAAATGTTAAAGAGGAGGCTGGAGGCAGTTGAGATGCCACTGATGACAGCAATGTGTAGTGTGAATATTATGGAAAAAGAAATCGAAGCATAGATCTTAGAAAATTATGTGGAGTTACAAAAGGCGTTATTCCTAGGGCTGAAAAGGGGCTGTTGAGGTGGTTCTGACATTTATAGGGGACTGAAAAAGACGCCATGATGAAAAAAAAGTGAAGAAATCATAGGTGGAAGGAAAATGTAGGGGATCATGCCTGGAAGGGTTTGAGAGACGTGAGGTAAAGGAAATTTAGTTTCCAGGGATTCAGCATCCAGCAGGTGTGTGTGTGTGTGTGTGTGTGTATGTATGTGTGTGTTTGTGTGTTAGATCAGGGTAAGTGAAGACAAGTAGTTTTAAATATTTAACCTGCTACTGGAACTTGTGCAAGGTAACATTTATGAAAGAATTCAAGGAAACCATTCAGCCGGACTTGACTTCAAGAGATAGGAAGTACAGTACCTAAACTCTGACGAAGATGTGCGGATGTTACTGGTCGGAGGGTTATTATTTAAAGTGGGATGTCTTCCACTTCATGTTCGCCGTATGACCCTAGTAGGTTTAGCGCTTCTTTTCTGATTATAATAATAATGCTGACTTCATGTAAGACAGATAATAATTGAATGGTTTTGCAATTTGTTTTTCCGTCACCCAACCTTTGTGGAACGATTGATATGATTTTTTAAAACTGAAGACTTACTCAGCCCTGTAACAACTTCAGACAGTATTACCAAGGCTGGCTCCTCCTCAGGAAAATTAATGAATAGAAAAAGAATAATTCACAAAGATAAACACTTTATTATTTAGTAATGCAAAGATAAAACATTGAAAAAATGAATGTGTATCCTATTTGACAGAAAAATGAAATAAAAATATGACATTTGAATTCAACGCTAATATGTACAGTTATACTGGGGTGTCTGGTGGAGGTTGACACCGTCTTGTAGAAATTGTAGCCGTTACTGATGATGGGGGGGGGGGGGTCCACAGGTGTTGGTGGCAACCCAACGACTAGTTCTTCACAGAGTCTATAGCCTTGAATAGTCAGTCCAGATGACAGGAACGCAGGTTTTTACTACTACAAAGATGAGGGGTAGTGTCCTGTACAATTAATCAGGTAGGTAGATTATAAGGTGACGTCCCAAGACCGTTTTCAGTCCGTCTCTTTCAACACTTCTCGTTGGTTGGCAGGTGACCCGATCTGTCATTCCAAGCTGGAAAGAGAGACAGGTTACCCACTGCTTAAGAAATCACTCTCCATGATAAGTGCAAGATACTTAAAAAAGGTGGTGATTATCGAAAAGTCTCACGTGGAGCTTAAAACTGAAAGGACAAAGTTCATTATTGGTCAAAAGTGAAGCTTTCAACCAATATCCACTAGAATAGGAGCAGAGGCTTTTGCTTACAGTTGTGCTGGGAGCTGTGAGTCGAGTGATTACTGTTTGGCCGGAGCCCCACACGTCACCTTTCGGGGTGGGGAGAAAGGGGGGGAGGGGATAGCGGGAGCTAGACTGACCGGCAATCAAACTATCGTTACCATATACTTGCTCGCTACTCCTATCTGTTGAACTTTTCCCTCACAAAAACCTACTTTTCTTAATAGTTAAAACAAACCAAATAATATATTATTTCGCAGATTTTTTTCCACAACAATGATATGAGACTTATTATTAACTATGTTAATTTACTTATTTACGGATGTCCTTAACTCTGCAGGGTCCAGCAACGACGACGGTGACTCGGGTGTCGAAGACCGTGACAACTCTGAGTGTAGACGTCCCTCCCACCACACAGTTCACCACCTCCACTACCTCCTACGTCACCACCATCACCTCCGTCGAGTCCAAAGTGATCCCCGTTATTTTCCGCGGCTCCAAGATCACCACCACCATCACTGAGACTAACGAGGAGGTGAGGTCGCAACTGCTTGACCTTGCCAACGACTCTGAGTGACCCCTTCTGACCCTGCACTGTTACTTCTCGTCCTGGCTACCTTTGACAATCACCGAAGGATCCAGCAAGTTACCACGTAGCTTCCTCAGAGGAATCTCGACTTCGGAGTTTCTGTGACATTGAGAAACACTGCATCATGACAACCCGACATTTTTCACTAATTGACACGTCATATATTAATAACTAATCGAAGCAGATTGAGGCAACACTAAACCTTCATCAAGGTGCTCGAGTATACTGAGGTCCTGACCAGGGAGTGTGAGCAAACATCTGGGTCAGATCAGCTGTTTCTTCACTCTTCATGTTCTTTGGTACACAGGTGTGCACATGTACTGCTACACCTGCAGAACCTGGCACATATCCAGCCATATGTACACATTCGCTGACAGTGACAGGTGTATCTGTTAGGACATTCTTACTTTTTAGTGTTTCACTTCCCCTCAAGGAAGGTTCCTTGATGTTGGTGAAGGGCTCTTGATTTAGGGAATTGGATCTGTGCTCCAGTTCCCCGAATTAAGCCTGAATGCCTTCCACATCCCTCCCCCCCCCAGGCGCTGTATAATCCTCCGGGTTTAGCGCTTCCCCCTTGATTATAATAATAATAATAGTGTTTCACTTCAGCCAAATATTCGTCAGTGGTTTAGCGTACCACCAAGAATATTCACTATTGTCATCATTCACATGTGAACAGTGCAACAGTGAGACATCTGCTGACTCCAGAGGAGTATTTTGATGGTGTGTTCAAATGCAACTAAAGACTCCTTCAGATGCCCTCTCAGGAAGGCACTTAGTGTGACGGATAAACGAGAGTAAATATGTTGAAAGAGGAATAGGTAGAGTGAATGTGTGAAGACTGAGAAGTGACGAGAACGATACTAATTAAAGAAAAGTGGAATGTAGACTGAAGGGATGTGATGATGAGATTTTAGTTGAAAATCCCAAAACCATCAGATTTAGAAGAGTAGGATGGAAATGGAAAGATCAATAACAAAAAAAGGCACAATACCGTGACTGGAACGATACACAAATAACCCGCACATAAAAGAGAGAAGCTTACGACGACGTTTCGGTCCAAGTCGGACCGAAACGTCGTCGTAAGCTTCTCTTTTATGTGCGGGTTATTTGTGTATGGAAAGATCAGGAAGGGAATAAGGGAGAGGGAAAATGGTGTGAGAAAAATTAAAAATGGTGGAATAATGCAGGAGAGAGGAGAGAGCTTAAGTCTAGGGAAACATAATGTTAAGAGGGTCAAACCAAGGTGAACCAAGTGACATCTCACATCTCTATCCCTGCACCACGGTAGCAGGCAAATATTTATACGAGAATATTTACTTTAACCATAAATCGTGATAGGACCCACTGTTGCCAGAAGTCACATTTTGATTAGTATCCAGCCACATTCTAAAGACAGAAGTGAAGATTATATTTCCCTCACGTCTGTCATTGCAAACCTGAGAGTTAGCACATCCCTAAACATAACAAACTGTGTAAACATTGTAGATTAGGGTAGATATGACCCTGTGGGAGCCGAGCAGACGAAACTCCTTGCTTACATAATGTATTAAGATCAAAAAGTGTGACATCTCTGTTCGCATAAGTTGTTTGTGGATGTGTGGAGGTGCAAGGTGTGGGTATGTAGTGTTACAGGATATATTTTGATACAAGGTATAGTATATGCAGTAAGATATTTTAATTGGAGGAGAGAAGCATGATGTGGAACAAAGAGGTAGGGTGCAGCAAAGAAAAAAAAATGGCTGAGAAAGATAATACTGGTTAAGTGTGTTGTGGGCAGGAAGGACTTCTGCCTCTGCGAACCTAGCGGACCTGTAAGATCCTGGTGTTGACCTGGTACTGGCGGCCGCTGACCTGTAAGGTCGACTCCACGCACTTGTGGGATAAGTAACATTTATCCTTGTCGTAATTTTTCATTTAGTTTCTCTTGAACTCACTGACTGTAGCTCCTCTTCAACTTTCTTCAATAGTCAGAGATTTTTGGTATCTTTTCAGTGAGTTTATAGCTATCTGGAAAAAGCAATTAAGCTTATTTGCATAAAATTCTTCTAGTTAATGCATGAATCTAGTATAAACGATAATGGGTTAGATAATATTTGCTTCTTCATCAAGAAGATATACATTTTTTGACCTGTTCTATTCTACTCTGACCTGCCTTTGAAATTACGTTACATCTGACCTCACTTCCGACTAATTTTTAACTTCTACCCTGTCATTAATTTTCTATGTATCCTGACATGCCAAGGAGGGAGTAAGTCAAAGATAATAACACTGTTTCTCTCTTGTACGAAGTTTCTGTGTCTCCTTCTCTGGGTATGACAACTGATTTGCTTTTCATGTTTAATGTTTAAAACTCAAGAAGAAAAGCGGCGCCTTTAAAGTGATAGTAATATAAATATTACCCCGAATCTTTTCTTTAAACTGTCACTTTTGTTGCTGTCTTCCTCTTGTCTACCACTGTGATAGCATTAGTTTTTCCTTATCAACCACTTTGTTACTCTGACTTTTATCTTAATATACCGCTTAGTTACCCCAAGTCTTTTTCAATTAAAATTATATAGAATACTTACAAGAATAATAGTCATAATTATAACAAGCACAAAACCTCCAGCGACATACATCACTGAGATGGGCTGTAGGTTATTTGTTATGAATGAAAGAAGTAATGAAGGGATGGACTAAATGTTTCAACCTTTAACTGAGGTCCTCTTTATCAGAAATGTACCGTCATTTGCTGGTGAGGCACTTATTGAGAGGTCGACATACAGTCTCATTTTATTTTGCTTTGACTATTGTTCATTACATTACATATAATATATATATATATATATATAATAATATATATATATATATATATATATATATAATATATATATATAGTGTGTGTATAATAATCACTAAATAATTGTTTGTTGCAGGTGATCACAGCAACGGAGTACTTCACAGAGTCATCGGTGTTGCAGCCGTCCATTGTGCAGACACTACCAGTGCACATCACGCTGACAGAGACCAAGACACGAGGACTGAACGGTCACTACACTGTGTTCGACGTGACGGTCGGTGCTACATCCGTCGGCCACGAACCCATTACTACCGCCACTGTTGATCTGGATTCCCCTGGCTTAGATCTGGCCAACCTGGACCTATCGCAGTTAGATCTGACAAGTATTGCTGCAAGTTTGCAAAATTCTGATGGTGAAAATAGCCAAATGTTATCGGTACTCTCCTCGCTCCTTCAGAATTATGATGAGCAGGCATCGGATGACCCCTTTGCTCCATTCTCCTCTACCTCCAGCGGTTCCAGCAACAATAGCGGTGGTAACAAACAAAGAGAATTCAGAGGACCTCCACCTAGGAACAGAAATTTCGGGGGCACTAGATTCAGTGACAGTCAGGATTATGCGGACTATGAAGAACCAGTAGAGGAGACTCCAAAGTTCAATGTGTTGCGTGGATTTACGTTAAGTGACCGAGTGGCCAGCGTGACTTCTGGCTCACCATCGACAGGCAGGGCGGCGACAGACACTCGCTACAGTAAATTCCAGAGGAAGGATAGAGTTGAAAACAACGGAATAAGTACTACAGAGTCAAGTCCTAGAGAAAGCGAGAGATTCTCCGCCTCAACCCGTCGACGCTCCTTCACTAGGACTGATGATCGACGGAGAGCTACCAAGGGCAGCAATGGTCGAGCTCCCAGTACGCGTTTTGTTCCGGCTGTTGAATCTCAGTATTTTGAAGAGGAGACAACTTCTTTTCGTCCTTTTGGCCAAAGACGTGACCGTGAAATATCAACACGCCGCCGTGGAAGCCTGGAAGAGCGTGGATCGTCATCACCTCTTCGTTCTAGGAATATGCCGCGTCCCCGTGTGACTACAAAATCGATAGCACCTATTGGTGGTTCCCGCCAGGAAGACCGATCTAAAACCACACCGCAAACCGCCGAGGCCCCAGAACCTACGCCTGCATCGGGTCTGAGTACTGTGTTAACAATGTACATTAGCGGATCAGAACCTGGGGAATTCCATACAAGAGTTAAGACAATCTATCTTAGGTCCCTCGGCTCTTCTAGAAAGAGAAGAGAGGTAGATGAACACTCTGTGACCAAAGTTTCCTCATCTACCACCTCCACTGTCACATCTGACACCACCATGATTCCTGAGATCCCTTCAGCAGCAGATCCGCAAAAGATTGTTCAGCTCCTGAAGACTTTAAATCCTAAGAAGGTGCGAGATATGCTTCACTCTTTGCAGAAATGGATTGATTTTTACAGTCAAGAAGTACTGGATGAGACTGACAACAGAATATTACCCGAGCTCACCTCTTCCCTCAGTATAGAGAGCTCAGATGTTGAAAGCAGTGCCACCACTGTCTTACCACGGCCTCCGTCAGTCATCACAGGGGCTCCACGAGCAACAGATTTATGCCCCGCTCCACCTACATTTACGACAACAGTGTACCGCACTGTAATGGTCACTTCGGGAGTAGATTTAGGTGTTTCCACAGTATAATGTTTAGAAAATTCTTCCCCCACTCCCTCCCTGGCAGGAACGGTGCCCCTCTCTGCGTGGAGCTGCCGCAGTGGGCGACTGCCGCCTGACAGGCAGGCAGCACCTCAGTAGCCTTGTGGTATTTATGAGTGATTGACTAAGCTGTACATAACTGCCTGTGTGTTCTTAGGCTGTATATATTTGTATTAAAGTTGTATGTATGCGTATGTGAGGGACCCACCCAGCTCAAATAATCCAAATGCCTCAAGGACGTCGAGGACCATGTGGGAGTGCTTTGGAGACCTGCAGATCTCTTGTGGCAATAATGTTGATGTCTCAAGCGAGATCCACTCAAGTAACTGACGTTAACGCTGAAGATCTGAGAAAATAATTGTGAAATAAAGGAAATATACTGGAAGTTCAGAAAACAAGCGTATAATTAATTTTAATGAAAAAAGTGCAATTTGTCTGAAAACGATTTAATCCTCTCTAATACAACCTTGCTCCACACAACAACATTCATGAGCTTACATTTGTTTATATATCTTGCAAGTCTTCAAAGCACCCTTCAAGTGTCATTGTATAGAGTGCTTCCGACTAGAAAATTGTTGGAAGATATTTAGCTTATGGTATGTATCATATCATCGTTTGCAGTTACGTGAAATTAATCTACGTATGTTTAATTAATATGTATAATTACTGAAAGAATCGTGTTTTAATCATTGACTATGAAGATAATCAATGGGTGATTTTTGAAAAAGTCAACATTTTCTCTGCACAGAATAAGAATTGAAATATTGAAATATACATTTGGCCAGTCAAAAGTGCAGCAGAGATAATATTTTTTAGAATAACTATATAACCAGCATATGTGAAGGAATAACCTGCCTGTCTTGGAAGGTTTCAATATTCGGACACCACAGTGAGGGGAGCTGCATCAATAGTCCCTGGCAGATGCTGCAGCTCAGATTCATCTGTTATTTGTTAAATACTTACCAATGTATTCTCGACTTTCTTCAGTATTGTACGAGTCTTGTTGATTCTCTAGAGTCTATGATATTTAGTAACATTATATATTTTTGGAGATGTGACGTGAAAATATGTTTACTGGATATTTCTCCAGGGGCATTTTGTAGTCATTTCAAGAAATTGTCAATTAATGAAAATCTATAAGTGATATCATGGTATTTATCAGATCAGTTTTGTTCGACAAGGGTTCTGTGGCTAAGTACCTGACCTAGTCGCCAATCACATAGGCTTTTTGAATGGCTGATCTTTTATTCTGATGCATGTTACGAATCATGGCAAGCAATATTATATCATATGATGATGGCTACAGATCGTTTCATAATAGTCCATTATACCAGTAGCCTAAGGAGTGATAGTACGGCCCTTGTGATTGACAGATCATTCATTCAATTTAGTCTCTGGTGATAATAGAATAGACTATGATGGCACAGACAAATCGTTTACCTGATTAGTCATTTAATTTAGTTCATGGTAACAAGAGCGTGTGCATTGATAGCACAGACCTTGTGTTTACCTGATCACTTTGGGTCGTGAGAGTAATGACCTGATCAGTGATTGACACACCATAAATGACTGACTGGCATATTACTCAGTCGGTCTGTGGAGTGATTGGATAAAAAATATAATTAGAGACGTACTTTATATTTCTAAAAACGTTATTAACTAACCAAAGGTTTTTCATAATATGGAGTCATATTTCAGAGTTAGTTACCACTTATGAAGCAAATATACAAAATAATAGTTTTTGTAATCGTAACGTCAAAAGAACGTAAAACAATTCGCTATTTCAATCAAATGGAAAATAAAAGTGTTCAAGACACTGTCTTTTTTAAAGAAAAATATTAATCGACAAGACAAAATTGTTTTTTGTTTATTATTTTGATTTTATGTACGAATGAATGTAATTATTTACGCTCCGTGTATTGACTAGTCGTATGTAAAGCAATTAAGAGCTTGCAATAATCAGTGAGATGATCAGAATGTTGATAAATACGCACATTTTTAATTGATTATAAACAAAGAATAACTTTCCCATAGAGGTGAGACCAAAGTGCAATAAAAAATGGTCAGTGTGATGCAAACTGATTAGTTAGAAAAATAATAATGAAAATAATCATATTGTTGAAGAAACAAAATATTCAGATTATCATTCTGGTTGCCATCGTAAATAATGGGTTTATATCACATGACACACAAGTGTTTGAAGTGACTGTCAGGAGTGTTAAAATTTGGCACAAGTGTTTCTTGAGGTGAGATTGCTACGACAAATGTGACATGAATAGTTTCAAGCTAGAAAATTGAGTGTTTAAGATGACTGTATTTGTCTGAGATGATTGTATTTGTTTATGATGACCACTTGTCTGAGATCATTGTGTTTGTCTGAGATGATTATATTTGTTTATGATGACTGCACTTGTCTGAGATCATTGTATTTGTCTGAGATGAAGAAGGGTGTCCGTCGCAGACGGCACTATGTTGCAAGAGAAGAAAGATGAATTTGTCTAATAAGACAAAGCATTTATTTTAAATGAAGATGCAGACGTAATGACCTAACAATAGGGAACATAGAATGAAATGTTCATGTTAGCAACGTACTCAATCATTATACGAAACAGTATTAAAATACCAGTGAACTTTAAGCTTTATTTAGTGCCTGAGTACTAGTCTGTGAGTAGGTAAAGAGTACGAATATTGAGTAAGAGTGCGTGTATGCCTGTTATTTCAAATCAGTTAGTCTGAGTACAGTGGTCTGTGCATAAAGCTATCTAAACACGGTTTTCAGAGTGTGTTCGTTGAGTGCATCTTTGTGAGTGTAATCCGAGTGTGTCAAGGAGCTCTTCTTGCCATCTGAAGCATTCATATGACTGCCTATATTAAAAAATTCATTACTCTAAAATTATGAAGTGCCTAAAAGAATAAAATATTTTTTCTTATATTGTTTTTTAAACAGTTAGCCTCTGAGGTCAAGATGTGGTCAATACGAGTTATAAAAACACATATAAGAGGGTTAATATTTCAAAGTAAAGTGCCAGTAGGGGAGATTTTGCTATTAAAATCTGAACGTACGTATTACATTATTATTATTATTATCATTATTATTATTATTATTATCATTATTATTATTGTTATGATCATCCTTTTACAAGAATTGTATTAAACAAGTATCATGAGAAAAGTGTGTACAGGGTTTATTCTGGCAGTTTAAGTGAGATATTTCTACCTTGATTTCCGAAAGGGAAAATTTTTCATGTATCTAAGAAATTTTAAGTCAGTGATAGTTCACAATTGAGGGTGTGGAGAGACCTCAGTAGTTCGGGAGAGTCAAGTGGTTTGACAGTCGTCAGAAAGTCAGCAGCATCTTAGACCTGTCAGCAGCGTCTTAGACATGTCAGTTACGTTTGAGACGTGTCAACTGTGCTATCAGTCCTTCTTCATTATTCAACTAATAACATGTTTTTTAGGTTTAATGTATATACAATTATTTTAAGACAATGAATAAATTTTTCTAATGATAAGACGTTTCAATCTGCAGTCAGCATCCTCTGAGAATGATGCGTTCTCTTATACACAGATCATGCAGGCAGCATCCTCTGAGAATGATGCGTTCTCTTATACACAGATCATGCAGGCAGCATCCTCTGAGAATGATGCGTTCTCTTATACACAGATCATGCAGCTCCCATATGCCATGCTGCTCTGCCAATAAAATTCAGACTTGATTTAATATATTACCTCGTAAAAAGGCGAGAACTGAAGGAAATCATTGTAACGTAAAAAAAAAAAATAAGAGATCGAGAAATACTTGTCAATATGTGTACCCCCTTGGTAGGGGGGGGAGGGGGACAAGTGCATCTGTTATCTATAAAATCTATCAACTGAACTTTATTTGTTCTCTACTACTCAATAGCTAGTTCATTGGTTAATTGGAGTTAAATCCTTTCTACGACACGAGGGTCATTAAGGCCCTCCAACCCTGATGCCCCCCTATAAACCCGGGCTGCCCCCAAATTCACACCTGACCCCTCCTACTCACACCGTGACTGCCTCCTAGCTCACACCCTGACTGCCTCCTAGCTCACACCCTGATTGCCTCCTAGCTCACACCCTGACTGCCTCCTAGCTCACACCCTGACTGCCTCCTAGCTCACACCCTGATTGCCTCCTAACTCACACCCTGGCTGCCTCCTAATTCACACCCTGACTGCCTCCTAACTCACACCGTGACTGCCTCCTAGCTCACACCCTGACTGCCTCCTAACTCACACTCTGACTGCCTCCTAACTCACACCCTGACTGCCTTCTAACTCACACCATGACTGCCTCCTAACTCACACCATGACTGCCTCCTAACTTACACCCTGACTGCCTCCTAACTCACACCCTGACTGCTTCCTAACTCACACCCTGACTGCCTCCTAACTCACACCCTGACTGCCTCCTAACTCACACCCTGACTGCCTCCTAACTCACACCCATGACTGCCTCCTACTCCACCATGACTGCCTCCTAACTCACACCTGACTGCCTCCTAACTCACACCTGACTGCCTCCTACTCACACCCTGACTGCCTCCTAACTCACACCTGACTGCCTCCTAATTCACACCCTGACTGCCTCCAAAACTCACACCCTGACTGCCTCCTAACTCACACCCTGACTGCCTCCTAACTCACACCCTGACTGCCTCCTAACTCACACCCTGACTGCCTCCTAACTCACACCCTGACTGCCTCCTAACTCACACCCTGACTGCCTCCTAACTCACACCCTGACTGCCTCCTAACTCACACCCTAGCAATCCACTTTCTCGGCATATTTAATAAGACATTTTACCTTTTGTCAAAATTTCCCACGACGTTTTTCTTCTGACTTAAACTGACCATTGCATAATGACGTGGACTGTGATTCATGATCCTAGAATTGCATTTTATATTGTGATAGATATAAACGTAATTTGAATATAAATTTAACAAGTTCACAGCCAACTAGTAGTGACAGAAGCAAACTGTTGTAATAGCTGAAAACTGTTAAGAATGACATAGCTCATTATATAATGATTAGCATATCATATAATAATGTAAGAATAAGCAAACAGATTCAGTGTTTTGCAAATTATGCATTTCACGATGACGATGATGATGATCATAATAATAATAATAATAATCTGTAACATCAGTAGGCACAGCAGTGATGGTAGTTTATTAAGTATAGTAGTAATAGTTGGAGTAGAAACTGTAGTAGAAGTAGTATTTATTAAACCTTTACTACTAATAATAACAAGCATATTAGCAGAGGTAACATCACAGGAATTAGGAGTATTTTCATCTTTTTTGATTTTGGGTGGTAAAATGTTTTTCTCTTTGATTTATTCACTCAAAAATATTAAGATGCTAGAACTAAACAAGTTGGTTAAGACGAGGAAAAAAAACACACAACCTGACAGGTAGTTTGACATTATCCAAAGGCCAAGCAGGTTTCTCCTTTAGGCTACCATTGGTCAACACGATTAGCAACTGTTATCAAATTGAGGCTACACTAATGAATCTCACAGATGCACCGAGAGCCACAGTAATTAAGAAAAATAGTTCCTGAGATTTAAGTCACTTATTAAAGTACTCTAGTGTTGCATATCGCTTTATCATTCTACCTGTCAATAAGCTGGACGATAATGTCAATATTTTAGTTACACTGAACAAAGATGCTAAAATTTCGTCTGG